GAGTAACTTACATTAATTTAGTTATCAGTTCACGAAAAAATAAATTTCTTTTTGTTTTTTAAATGATTGGCATTGGTTACATATTATTCTAGATTCCCCGTAAAACAAATTTTAACGAGGGCAACGCAGGGCGGAACAGCTAGAATATATATATTTGTATGTTTAAAACATAAATATATATATATATTACATATTCTGGCTGTCCCGGTGTTACCCGTGCCAAATTTTGTGTTAATATATATAATCTATATAATATACTAACTACTAAGACTACTAAGACTATAACTAAGATTTGTATATTGAGGAAATTCTAGGATTTGTTGTGAAAACATCGAAAGCTAATCCTTACTTCAGATTTCTACCTAACGATTACTGAATACTAGCTGACTACGAGCATACATAATAAAAAAATTTTGTCCGGGCATTATTCCAATATTTAAATAGGTAGTTATTGCATAATAAAAATGATGTTAAAATTATCTCAATTTAATGTTTAATTTGTAGTTTGTACCAGTAATACTTTCCGTAGAATTACATAAATAATATTATCCTGTCCAGCATTATATTTTATTTATGCATGTTTGAATGTTACACAAATATATAAAATAATACCAACAATAAACACGGAAAAAATCAATTAGATGTAATGCTATATAAACATAATTTTATATTGCATTAGTATTCAGTACTAACTTTTACTAATTTAATGATTACAATTTATAAATATATAAGTACATGCTTACCTATATTATAGTATTCAACTGGTATATATATTTAGGCGTACATTTTAAATACAATAATTTTCAAATTCATATAATATATTATAATATATTTTAATTTTTAATTCTTTATCTTCTACATCTATAGATATCTTATACAATTAACCTCCCCTAACGGATATCTCCAAATAATGGACGATTTATGGGGAACAAACTACGAACTAAACACTCTGAATAGCGGACACCTCCGAATAGCGAACAAACTTTTCAGTGACCGAGAGTGTTCGATATTTAAACGTTCACTGTAACCATATCAAATTAAAATATATTTGCATAGGACTTGTAAACATGGAAACTGCAAAACCAATTGGCACACATTTTGCACACATATATTTCTTGACATTTGGGAAATGTTCATAATTTCGTTTTTCATACCACATAACAACCCTATAGGTTGCCACAGTGTGACTCGCACAGGAATTTCATTTTGACTCGAGAAAATTGAATATTTTTTTGTTAATTTACAGGGTTGCCATTAGTTACAGAAATAAAAGAGACTTTTATATAATCTATAAATGTATATATATAAATTACCTAATGTATGTTTATAGCTTACAGACTCAAAAATTACGAGACCCATTTTTACGAAAATTTCAGAGATTGTTTTAGAGATATCCGAAAAATTTTAAAAATAGGTAGTTTAAGATATTTGAAAATATAGCAAATGCTACATCCAATCAGTGACAATCGATTGCCCTGTGGAATTAATGTACTAAGCAAGATATACCGACGCCGATTTACCAGTGAAATGAGATGGATAAACTAGAGATACCACAGTACTTAATATTTTTCCTTTTTTTATTTTTTTCTCGGGCAAAGTCGGGTTATACTGCTAGTTATATAATTATTATTATGTATTTTGTAAACTAACTACAATTTTTTTTTCAAGAAACGTTAAAATACATTTTAATTTCTCAATAAAAACTTAACAGAATGTTCGATATTCGATGAAACCAGAATTTCATTACAATGTGTATGTAAACTTAAAACAAGTAAGAGTGGTATGTTTCAACATAAAATCATGTTTCAACGAGTTGAATGTTTAAATAATATAGTTACACGAGAAGTGAAATTATGTATCTGTGATTCTAAAAATCAGTATACATTAATCACTTTGTGTAATCACTTTTTATAAGTACAAAATAATATTAAATCACTAAATTTATTTAAGGAAAGGCAGTCTTATGATAATAAACCTGTTTTTTATAATAATTTACTGTTCAATTGATTGATTGATAAATTGTTTAAAATGTTGTTTAGCTTGCAGAAATGAATATCCATTAGAATCTAATAAGGGAAGTTTTTTCAACTAACATAATATATTATTACCAGCCCATTTCAATAAAATTAAGTAAATCATAATGATATCAATGTTATAATATTATTGTTGTACCTATATCAATTATTATAATGAATTCCGAAGTAAAAATCTGTGTACATAACGAATAAACAGTCAAATATTTTTTAGTAATTATTTTATATTTCATTAGGTATAGTTTGTCTCTAATACCATAGAATGTTAAAATATGAATGTATTTATATTTTTAAAACAATGGCGTTGTAGTTTTTTTTACTAGTAGGTAGCGAAACGGTAGCGAGTTTTTATGGAAGACATGCTCTACAGAACCTATGATAGCCGATAGGTGTTATTATGTCATGATGAAATATTGAATAATATGTATATAAATACAAAATAATAATAAATATATCACAAAAATCACACGCTTAGTGATTTTAAAATCCAAGTTAAATATAATAAGGTGAAACTCGAAAACGTACATATAAAGACATTGCATTTAAAATAAAGTGACAATTCCTACCCATTGAAAATGTTAAATTGTTTTAAAATACAAACAAAAATTGCATATTAACAATTATATTTTAAATTTGTTTACTTAATGCTTTGATTACTGACTACTGTTATTTGAAAAAATTGTTAGAACAATAAGGGATTTTATACGATTTGTAATCATAATAGGACGAACTTGGTTGCAAGCTTTCTATTTTCAATTGAACCTTGAACGTGACCTAGAAAACCTGTTTTCTCAATGCATAAATATTAGTAAGTATTTATAAGTAAACGATCAACACATAATATTATAAAATACCAAATGTAAGTTAATATATATTCAAGTGGGCTGTAATTAATAGATATTTACAGTTTAGTTGAAGTAACCTCGACACAAATAAAAATCATAAAAACAATTTTCTGGAAGATTTTTTCTCGTGGTATCATTATTTTTAACCTGGTCAAACACAAATATTGTTTACCATTAATTTTATAAATTGTTATAAAATTATAATCTTCAACACCATATATATTGACTAAATACATGTATCTTAACCAAAATTAAAATGTCTTGAATGTACATAATTTGATTATACTAAGCCATAAAATATATGCCCACAAGTTATCAAAGAATCATGTTAATTGAATATAAATAAATCATAAATGTAGGTACATAAAAATTAAAAAGAAACAAAAATACTCATTTATGGTATATTTTCGTAAAACATTTACTCACCACCATACGTATCTTATATTCTATACACTATATGTCTGTATGAAAAATTACCTATATAATATCATTAAAAATATTTTAAATTAATGTTTAGGTTCTACACGCAAAATTGCTTACAGCGCGTGAGTTTTTTATTCTAAAATATAACAATTGTATAATACAATTAGTTACAATCTATGAAAAACTGTTATACGCCGTACTTACAATACATGATTAATAAGCTTCCTGAGACACATAATAATATGTAAACATTATAAATTTGATTATGAATTTAAATAATTAGTTCGGAGGAGAAGGTATATTATTACAGAGCATATTTTATTCATGTAATAATTGAACTTGACATAATTTTTTTTTACATTTATACTGCCAACCAGTTTATCTTGCTATTTCGATTTTAAATATACTCAATAATTGCAAATAACTGTCATATTTCTTTAGATGCATGATGTGAATTATTCAAAAGCATTAATGTGCATGTTTTATCAACCTTCAATCCTGCAAAAGACAAATTATGTAGTATTTGTTAATTTCTCGATATCGTATGTACCTATCTAATATTTATATAATCTTAAGTTATTGTGTATAAATAACTGCATTACTCGTGTACTATTCATTATGTTTGTTAGACACATTATTAGTCTATTATATTTCATTGATTTTCATAACTATTGTAGTTGCCAATTCTATATAAAACGTGGAAAATATAGGTTTACATAAATAGGTAGTTATAAGTATCTACTTATATTTTTCTTAGTAAATAATTTTGAAGTTTGATTAATTAAATATTTTTTTTAAACGCTGTTAGAAAGAATATTTTAATTAATTGGATTATGATTACATGTTTATATTACGCATTATGTACCTACATATATTGTAACATGCGTATATATTTTAAATAATGGGGAATTAACGTGTAATCTCAAGTATGAAAAATTATTTTTCTCAAAGAACACTGTTGGTATAAGAAAAAACATGTACCACTGTACCTAAATGTAATACCTATACTAATATATATATTATATACACTATACAGCGTCTACCTATTAAAACAATTTTTTTAATGAAGAAAAATTAATACATTTTCCGTCAAGAAAGTATGAGTACACTCGAATGTTAGTAAAAGTGAAAGATTGTAACAAGTGATAAAGTCATTTAAATTATGTTTAGGTAAATATAATAATCATTATTTCATGCAGTATATTAATTGTATGTTCATATTAATCTACAGCTTAAATCAAACCTTTATTTAAGATAAATTGGAAACACGAATATCATTCTAATTCCACAAACTATAATTCTAAAACTCTATAGTTATTTAAAATAATTAATAACTTACACACAAGGTGGGCCTATATTTAAAATTAACACTGAACAGTTATTATTTCAAAAAATTGATTTTTCTTTCAAAGATTTAGGTTAGGTTATACCTAGATGGGACCCTAACATTATTATTTATTATAGATCGTTTTGTACTATAAAAACACTTTTTTACCATCATTATGTTCGTTACTATTTATAACCAATAGTTTCCACAGTAATTTTTTTGACAAGTGTGAGAAAAATAAATTCAGTTTAAAATGATAGTATTTCAAATTTTCTAAAAAGAAAATGTCAAAAAATAACTTTTCGAAACGATGAATGTTCACTGATAGACGCAGCTAAAACAATCGATTGATATGTTATTTTATACAGAGACTTATACTTCAAAAAGAAATGGCGATTCGCGTTTGGGGCTGGGAGACGAGCTCTTGCTACGCGGGCGGTCGACAAGTGGACAGAGAGGTGCCTTTGAAGCCGACGCCGATTTCTCGGCATGACAGCCACTGCTGTTGGAGTCGTGCTCGGCCACCTCGTCGTTGCCGTCGAGTCCTCCCGTGATCAGGACAACGGATGACGGTTTGTTCTGATATGACATGAACGTATAGATAATTACGTTATAAATATATACTTATAAATTATTAAACAATATTATATATAAGTAATAGAAATATAGAATAATATGTCTAGGAAATCGGCAACCGTGAGTATTTGTAAACCTAAAATTTTAATTGAAAAACCAACTTGTCAGTATCGTAAGAGATATTTCAATCAAAGCTCGTAAATCTGAACAAAAATTATGAATACAGCTAATACTGTACTATTGGTTATTATAGTTGAAGTCTTACATAAGCATCAAGCGCATACGTGAGCTATGTTGGTGGACATGAAACTACATTGGTAGTTTAGGTATTGTATAGTTCCCCCGTGGCGCTGCTTACAAACTAATTACTAATTAATGACAGTCACTATTTTTGTGGCTATCACCTCATGGACATACATTTGTCATATGCTACTTTATATCTATATTTAGTGTTCTAAACTCAACAGACATTTGAATTTGTTGTCGTCGATAAATCCTCATCGTGATGGTTAACGAGCAAAGGACATATTTTCTCATCGAACTCAGGCAAGCATTGCCGATGACAAACCATCTTACATTCTATAAACAAACAACAAACAATAAAGAATTGCAGAGTAGATATTTAAATATAGACTATAGCGTATACACTATATGGTACTTAATAAGAACTATGGACTCACCCTTACACTTAATTGTGGTGATCCATGACCATACGTTTTTTACTCCACAAATTGCACACGTCTTCAGGATCCTAGACGGTATATTTAAATCCTTCCAAACATGTCCATCGTTGATTTCAACACAGGATATCTCCAACTCGCTATGTATGCTTTAAAATAACATGTTTTTCAATCCATTCAAGACATATTGAAAATTACATCTGCTTACTAATCGATGCTTGGTCGAGAGACTTTTACTTTATGTACCATTTATGTGTAGGTGTAGAGCTTTTTTCGTTGAGCTCGAGTTCGTATACAAATTGTATTAAATATTGATAAATTTTGTGGTATTTTATCATAATTTTAATAAAATGCGTTGCTAACGAGATAATCGAGTGGGGATTTTTTTCAATAATATTTGTTTTGTATTTTCTATCATAAAATCAATACATTATTTTGTCTCATAAGGTGGTTCAGTTTCTAACCTATTGATGCTTTTGCAAACATTTTGGCAATCATTTTTGTTATTCTGTAACCATAATGATCTTAATTTTTATAAACACAACTTAGGATAGGTAATAATAAAAATCTTAAGAGAGTATTATATTATAAGGAGAAATCTCCATAAGGCTAGGGCTTAGTATAAAGCTTGGGGGAGAATTAATAGTATTATAATAGTTATAATAATTTGTAAAAATGTTAAAATAAACGCAGAATATTAAAGAAAAATATAAGGAAAAATCTAAAAGATTATTATACTTAATATTAGAGATTATAACTAATACTTGTATACCTGTCCTAACTAATATAAGTATACCCCTAATAACATTATTTGATTTTGGAAGGGCCCAAAAACGTTGCATTAAACTACAACTAACTAATTAAAGACATTAAATAAACTATAAATCATCATCTTCAACATTATTTTTAAGTCATACCAAGTAGTAAGACAAGTATAACATTTTAAAACGAACGTACCTAATATCATTAAAAATAATTGATTGTACAATAAAAAATAATAACAACAAATCCTGGAAATTATTCTATCGAATTTGAGGGACAAGATTTAACGATAGAAAAAATATTTTATTACGTGCTACAACCTCTAAATCCGTATGAGTAATATTGTCAGTGACTCGCAACTTACATGAATCTTAGTGTGTGGTCGTACCCAGGTTCCGACACTTGGGATCCTAAAATAATAAAATTAACGAACAGCATAATGTTTATGCTACATATTAATCTTTTTTTTAATAATTCATACCTACTTGAATTTAATTTAGTAGTTATGAGCCTGTTACCTACAGATTATTGTATGCAAATTGTGACCCATACAATTGTAAATATTATATGTTATCAACGCAATATTTATAATGTATATTGTATTTGGTCAAATTTATGATAACTGAAAATTCAAATTTTTCCAAAACCTTAAAAACATTTTTCTAAGACCATTAAATAAAGCAATCATTCTTAAAATCCGTGAGTTTTGTGACGATTTCCACAAAGACACTATGTATGACGTATGTATTAGTTATTACTCGTCAGCGGATGATCTTTACGAAACGATGTATTTAAATAGGACTAGGCAAGACATAAAACGTAGTTTCAAAATAAATTAAATCCCTCGAATACGTTGGATGCGTTGGAAACGTTTCTACAGACTACAGTGCACATATTTTAAAATTACATCACTGGTAATTATTAATTGTAAATTATACACATATTATGGTATATTGATCAACTTTAGCACTATATCCTTAATTCGAAATAAATAAATGATTACTCACTTCTGAAAATTATAAGGCATCATAAAATAAATTATTAAAAATAATATTGCCCAACCATGTTTTGGTTGTTTTTTACTAGACTAATGTAACAAAATATCATGAAACACAATATTTTTGACATTTTAAGGTATTTTATAATGTTTCACTTTTACTATTTAATTCATAGTTAGGTACCTCAAATTAAGCACATTATCAATTTAAATTTAGCCTACACAAATGTAAGAGGAAAATATTATGATGACTTTTTATTATTCGTTACATAATTGCTATCATCATATTATGTAAATGTATATAGCTCTTGAGTCTTGATAAAATTAATTGCATTGATATTACACCAACGAGTTTGATTTTTTATAAAGTAGATTTCTGTCACCAATTCAATCATATTATCAAATTAGCCGATACGTACTTAAATTAAGCTAACCAGCCAGCTTCCTAACTAAAACATAAAACAAAATAATTCTGAACTGCAGAAGTAATGTATTTTAAAATGTTAGATAAACACGAGTTTATTATTTTGAAATTTTAGTCCAGAATAGTAAGTTATCATAAATGTGATGTCCGCCCCTTCAATGCGAGAACTTGAAATGCGTTAGAGGCGTATACCGCTTGAGCAACAAAACGATTAAGAAATAAATCGTACCACTACATATGAACTTTAATTACTGGTGTTCATTAGTTATTGAATGTTACACTAGCATTAAATTAAATAAGAAAATTAATTATTGTAAAATTAATTTAAAAGAATATCTACATAGGAATGCATTTTGCTATATTATTGTATAACATATTTTAGATCAGGACTATCAAATATCAATTTATTTTTAATCCTTCACATTTGTACAGCAAAATTATTTTATAATATTAGAATCGCTTAGATAGACATATTCACATATTTACATATACTATGAAATCTAATTAATATTTGTTTAATGGAATTTTGTAGAACCTACCAAGGTACCTAAACTCATTCCTCAAAACAACCGCTGTCACTCGTTAAACAAAATATTGTCGTCAGTATACAGCCCTTTAAAGTTTTCGTTGGTTTAAACATTTTTAAATTAGGTGTTTTCATTTTATCAGCCTAATAAAATTTTAAATAATATGATATTGTTAAATTTTATAAAATATCTTAATAGCTATTACAGATATTGTTTGTTAAGCAATCATTTTTTTTTTAAATTAAGTTAATGAAATTCCTCATAGCCAGTATACTTAAATATTATAATTTATAATACCGAAGACATAGATTGAATATTTGAACGAAATTGAATGTATTCTATATGTTTGTATATGTACTATGTACATCTACAGATCTATCGATGAACATTTACCATAATATGTGTTGTGCCTCGGGACTAGAGACACCCACTGTTTATCAGCAACATGCAAATGGTAATGAATTATTTTACGAGTGCATACAATTGCCATTTTTACATTCCAACTCCTTCAGTTCTTTTTATTGATGGGTTCAAGTGTTATGCAAATGGAATATAATATCTTACGTCACAATAATACACTGGATACCTATTTCTGAATAAACAAAGATTTGTAATCAAAGATAATAAAATGTTAAATTCAAATTTCTACAACAACAAAATGTCTCGCATAATTAAAATAAAGACAGATATACGTTTAGGTGGCTATAGTGCATAATATTATATTGTATAGACAGATACGTTAAGTTTTTGCATTTAATAAAACAAAAGTTTTAAATTCTGAGAAGGCCGAGGATTCTACCGTACATATAATAATATGTGTTGACATTTTAAACTTTGTATGTAATCACTTAATTAACATAAACACGATAAACATAAAAGTTTACACGACATCAAGTTGGTATACTATAATAACATTATTTGAAATAAGACTTGACATCCGAGTATGTGTAGTGCAATATATAACTATACACATCACTACATCAGCCACCTTCATAAAGCCACCTATATAATTAATATTCGGAATAAAAAAATAGTATACATAGGTGCAATTATTTATAACTTCAATTATTATGCTTGTTGAAATTATATAAAACCTACTTACCTTTACTGTACAATACATAGCACAAATAATAGCTGTTATATATTACCTATACAAGTTTATATAGACATATAGTATATATCCACAGTTATTCAAATACATAAATCATTTCACACACATATTAAATCATCCCTGTTTTTCCAATAATCGAGTACAATATCTTACTTAAAAAATGTTGACGGGCAGTTGTGATGTTCTAAAGTAATTAGTCAACTACAGTATTGATTGACCAGTTAACAAGTCTACAAGGATATTTTTATTTTAAAAAAAAATTGAATAATAATGGGTAAAAATATAAAAGTTGGTTTGCATTCGAGAGAAGACCTTCGGTTACCAACTCTTTATGCCGGAAATTTTAGATTAATATTAATCTTAGTTAGTTACCTAAATTATACTCGTAATATGAACTTAACACATTATAGCCTATAGGTAGTCAACATTTTTGGTAATCGGTGTAGACTTGATAATAATTATAAGTTATAACAAACATTTATCAAATTTAGATAGGTACCTATTCTAAAAAGTAATTTTAAGCAATTTATGTTTTATCAAAATATTAAATATCTAAATTATACTTATAATATTCAAAATAATAATATTTAATAACACTAACTATTGAAGATGTGAGATCATTCGCCTTAACCACAATAATTAAAACTCGATTAAGTATCTAATTTAAGTATTTAATTCTCAATCAGTAAAAATTCTATCAAATACCATGTAACATGTGAGTACAATGGGTGTAACAATTTACATGTATGTTATGTGAATATGTGTTGCAAACATTCAAAAATTAGCTACACGATTATTATAACGATACAATAATTTAATTATATGATGTAAGTTATCGAAGTGTTAATAGCATCGATTAAAAGTTAGAACAGAAATATGTTTTGACTGTGAAGTCGGAAATAGTTAAAAAATAAAATAATTAATTTTGATCTTTGAAACCGAGAACACCATACTTGTGCGAAAATAAATTAATACAAGCATACAAAAATTATCACACCACTTTGTGACCCAGGACACGATAAACAGGTATTTAGCATGTGCAATACATCAATACCTACATCGAAAGCATAGAAAACTAACTCCGGTTGCAGTTGCGACAATCAACCAGGTGATTTGCGACAATCGGCTTCGCTTTGAAAAGATCAGCTCATGTGGACAAGTTCCCAAGTCTGTTGTGACAATCGTCTGCTTCTCTAGAATATCCGCACGAGATGACGTGTCCCATACGGGTTATATAAATCAGAAAACTCGTGTCTTATCCGATCTATTGACTGCAGTATACTATACATACGCAGCAGCCGTATAGTTAGATACTTTACATACTCGCCGGATGTAGAAATAACAATTATTTACACTAGGATTTGATTTTTCTTATTCAATTTCGTTTGGAATTATTGAAACGAATATGTAACAGATATTTCTTGGAAA